ATTATAAAATTTAGTTTATAATATCCTACATCTACTAATGTCTCAAACAGGTCCAAGTAGAGAGTCATACCAAATACTCAGGCTATTGGAGCCATCAAAGTGAATTTAGAACACTTTGGAAATATTGGAAAAAGAGCTTGTATTAAATTATTTAAAATACAAATAAAAACCAATGCATTATCTCAATTGATCTTGATATTTTAGACTGACCGGAGGCCGTATTTCTACATAGGGGAATATAGGGGGTATATTATAAGGGTATATATCATGTAGAAAATTGAGTATAGAGTATAGTCTATAAAGGGGGTCACCTCCAAAAAAGGGGCTATCAAAAAGACATGGCCTAAAATATTATACAAAAAAAGAGGCTTTTCGAATCATCTGTCTCAGGTGAAACATGCTCCGATATTCGCGTTTGAAATCGACCCAAATGGGATATTCAAAAGTCAACACCTCCAACTACTCAACGATTACTTCATAGTTACATAGCCTTCTTCTAAAATACATACAGGAGAAGGCTATGATTATTTAAAAACTTATTTCTAAAAATCCCCAATTATGTACAAATTTATGTATTGATGAAATTTTGTACATACAGTCATAAATACAGTCATACAAACATACATACTCCATGGCAAATTATGACAAAATCTAAACCGACAGGTGGCCAGTATGCACCATACTACCGAGTACCGACTATGTATTTACTGTGTCAAGCTTTGCTCGCTCCGCAAAGAGCGGCTGCAGGGGTTTATGTTTCACAAGTTGGTTTCCCCCCCTTTTTTTAAAGTTAAAAAGACCCTATAGCAACTGTGAAGTGTGAACTTCTGCGGAGTCTGTGAACATAGAAATCAGAAATATGCTGAACAATAGGGATAATATTATTTATTTCAAAAATGGCAAGTATGTATGATACAATGAATGAACATATGGTATGGCTCTCATAGTCGCTGTAGTGGTTCAGGAAAGATTGATGGGAAGAAGTGGTCAGTAAATTCCTATTTGAAGCTTGGGCCAAGTGAGTCGACAATGGAAGATATGTGCTGAGTCAATTCGGGCCGGTGTTGACAAAACACTGTTACTATCGAATGTTTCATATATTCGCTTGCAGTAGAGTACCTACCTCTGTTGTACGGATCGGGTCTGCGCCGTGTAGCGCCGCGGAATGGGTTAGTGCAGAGTACGAAATACCGAGAAAGACCAGGTTATCCGTCATAGTCAGGTCGAGAAGCGAGGATGGGGGTATGCCAATGCCGCACCAGACCACGGATGAATTCGGTATGTGTTGGCTGGCCTGGATCGGAAGTATCATAGTCGGAACCAACAAGCGCGATGATTTGGGTTGAACCGATATTTGGAAGTAGTACTTCAACAGCGTGATTAGCCGGGGTATGGGGAACATCTGTTAATGTGTCAGGGACGGGTGAGGGTACGGTGGAATCTTCAAACCACCATAAATATAGCCACCTACACACGCTACCACAATTAGTGCCACCTACCCTTCCAATCTACTCATACTCAGGTATTTTTTTATTTTTCACTACAGACACTACACAACGTAAAAAGTAATATTAAATAAAACACGCCACCACAATTTCCACCCACTACAGATGGGAAGTGCCACCTACACTTCTCACCTTAATATTAAATAAAACATAAATACAAACTGCACTGGACTGAAGTTTAACCCTTAATGTTTGCTTGAGCAATACTTTACTAGCTAGTTCCTGGTAGACACCACGACGCCAACATTGTACCAAACTAACGAGGCAGCACTCGTTGGAAGGTAAATATGAATTGAGAAAGTTTGTGGCAATAGGGATAATATGTGGTGTGCATTTCAGTATTTTTATATCTGAATATGTTCTTATCTTGGATAGTCTTCTCACACTAGTATGAACTAAAACATAAATACAACCTGCGCAGCTCTGAAAATCCTTGCGACTACAAGCAACTCGATATTATATTCAGAGCAACGGAGCTATATATACCTATTGATGTCGCAAAATACGCACCTAAATTGTATCAGCACAAACCAAGACAGACCAAGATTTTAAAAGAACATTTGTTTTTCAACTGATATAATATAACTGATATAATATTTACTATATTCAAAGACCCACGGAAATAATGTGCCGGTACACTACCTTGTGTGCCCCTGTGTATGTCTGTGTGATCCATTGATTGGCTGAAGCATACATTTTTCGTAAGTGAGAAATGTAGATTGCACTAATTGTCGGTGTCACATGTCAACTAGTGTCAATCTGTCACCATAAAAGTAAAAAATTTAAAATGGGACCCAGTGATTGGCTAAAACATACATTTTTCGTAGGTGGGAAGTGTAGGTTGCATTAATTGTGGTGGCGTGTGTAGGTGACTCTGTGTAGGTGGCTATATTTATGGTGGTTTCATTATTTCTCCAGTATGTATGTAGTTACAATACCGCACTGTCGAAACGGTAGTCTTCTATTAAATATAAAATGAATGGATATAAATTATATTTTTGAATATTCATTGGTTTTATTTTTAGATCTGTTTTTAGATCAATTATATATCAATAATGATGACATATTTGTTTAAAAATATTGATGTTGTAGCTTGTATATGTATATACTTTTGTTTCATTTATTTTTATTTTTATTCTAACTTTTTGTGTTAGTAAATCTTCTTGATTCATTGTGATGTATCCAATAGACATCACGATATGAAAATAAGTCCTCTCTATGTAACGCTCTACTTATTGAAAATATAATACGATGATAATTGGCTTATAATTAGTTGGCTCTCTGCAGTCTGCTCTCTGAGACTGCATGAGTGCAGTCTGCTCTCTGGCCTCTGCACTGTCTGCAGTCTGAACTCTGCACTGATCGGCACTGTCTGCAGACTGCAGACCTAACTAACTGAGTGCAGACAGTGCAGATTGCAGAGTGCAGAGGTTTTAGGGTTGTTAAACCCTAAAACTTCTGAACATATTTTTAATTTTGTTTGTCAGAAGGCTATGTTTTGTTGAATCTGGGTTTTTCTTAGTGTGTATGTACACTTTCTGAAAATTACACAGGTTAGAAACCCACAACAGGGCCCAGCGCCACCAGCCTACCTGGCCCCAGGCCCCAGGCCCCAGCCCCAGGGGCCAGGACTCAGGACCCCCAGGGCCCCACGGCACTGGAATTTGTAATAAAACCACCGGTAAAACTATAGCCTCTATTTAATATTAGCCGTCAATGAAATAAGGTTAGGGTAGACCCGGCATATTAGCAAAAGGATTGAGCGTTTTCATTGGCTTTAAATATTATTTTTCATGTAAATAAATAATTTTGTAGATGCCAAGGGCCCAGCCTCCCAGGTCCCAGGCCTTTGGGCCTATATTTTACAAAATAAAGCATAAAAATATTTTGATACAATGAGGGCGAGTCCGATTATTAACGTTAAAGTATAATATTAAAGTAGAAAAAGGGCCGACGTGCCTTGAAAGATGCACTTTCGTTTTCATTGGTGGGCCGTAGGTGCGTTTTTTCGTACTATTTTTAGAAATTTTCTCGAGACTATTAGTACGTAAACGACGTCACACCCCCTTTAACGGAAAAACATATGACCTTTTACGTACTTTAATCAGCTAGCGACGAATTTTCTCTCCTACCAATTAAACTTGTTTCAAAAAAAATAAAAAATTGGACAAATCAATCCGGCCATCCTATTGGCTCACGACCTTGAATGCCTTTAATATTTAACGAAAATCTTTAATCGTTTACACTCGCCCTGGACCAGTGACCATTGTAAATAGTAACAAATAAACTTCGGGCGACGGTCGTCGAGTCTATCTCCCTGAGTTAAATAGATGCCTCTTGGGCGATATCATAATGAACATGAAATCCATGTATTTATTTTACATATTTAGTATTGAGATGAACATAGATAAGAAGAAAACGCCAGTCGCCAAGTTGCTATTTAACTTAATAATCGGAACTCGAATGTCAGCTCAACTTCTCGAATTAATTGCTGACTGAGTTTCGCATCCCCAATGTACATTTTGTATAGTACGGGGTGAGCAGGGGAGTTAATACTACCGCACGTGGAGGCCTCTTAGACATCCAAATGTAAGTGACGCTGTGAGAAAGAAATTTTCCTCGTGCGCACTTAAAAAAGATATCTACGTAAATCACTTCCTGAACAATACGGCATGAACAATGAAAGTGTAAATGTTCAGTTAATCTTCTTATATATATGTAGCGAAACTCAGTCTCGATATACATCCATACACACACACACACACACACACACACACTA